CATCCCGGCTACCTTTCGGTTTGTTGAAAACCCCACTGTGCAGGATCACCAGCCCAAAGCAAGCTTTGTCTGGTCAGTTTAACACAGCAGTATGCAGTCATGGTGTTTGTGACATTTACTCTATCTGTTTGTTACATGTTGTATTTTTACTGCCTTCATTTTAACTTTTTTTTTTTTTTTTTGCTGAAGGGAGTTCCAAGGATCTACTTTTCATATTCACTCTGAAATATCTGAAATATCTACCTAATAAGACCAATATGACCAAGTACTAAATGCATTCTGTACATACATATGGTCTTACTGAGTAGGTATGATCAAAAATTCATAGTTGGATAAGAAACTCTCCCTCCCTGACTTGACTAACTCTGTTATTTTGCGAGTCCAAATTTCCCCAACCTGTAAACCTCAGAAGTGTGAAAATGCCACTCTGATTACTGTCTTAATGGCCAAAAATAAGAGAATAAGACACAGGCTGACTTTTACTTTTGAATATGTGCTTTAAAATAGAAAGAAAAAAGCTTCTAAGTTGACATTAGTGACACAGGCAAATAGGATTGTTCTGTATGTAGAAAACTGAACACTTAGAAACTTAACTGCCTTGTTCTTTGCCCTGCAGATTTCTGTCTGAAGCTTTGGGAAACCTTAATAATGTCATTAAACTTCTTGTGTTTAAAACTAGGATCTAGGATTTTTTCCTCCAAGAGTTGCTGAGTGTGCATGCGCGCGCGCGTGCGTGCGTGCGTGCGTGCGTGCGTGCGTGCGTATGTGCATTTAATTGTGATTGGCTGAAACTGGCTGAACCAATGCTGCTTTTGGTGTTGTAACAAACTGCTTGATAATTGCTGAAAATGGATGCATTTGATGGTTCCCTTGCTTTTTCTGCCGCAATTCTGACACATGATTAGGTACACTGACTAAAACAACAGACGACAGTTTGTTTTCATCTCCAGTGAAAATTACCCCAGGTGCATTTTAAGAACTGTCTGTCCTCCTGCGAGCTTGTGCTCTCGTCTCCGTTTGGCTGGGAATACATTTGATTAATATGTATTTTCCTGTGTTTTTGGTGTGAATAGATATGTTTGTTTGTGTGTTTTAGTGGAGGGAGGAACATTGTGGTAACCGGCTCCGGATTTGACATAATCCAGACTGCAATCATGAAGGTCCAGGGAAGCAACTGGTCGGCTTCAGAGGTTCCTGTTCATTTTCCGTATCTTCATTTGAGTCAATGCACCGATGCATCTCTGACAGTCATTATCTTAGATCTTCTTACCCTTTCTCCTAAATGTTGCTTTTTCTCCCATGTTTTCCCTCTCTCACAGTACCACCACTCTTCAATCCCCCCACTTCTCATGAACCCCAACTCTAGTTTTGATTCATTCAAACTCTGTGAAGCATTGCAATTAAACGGACACACAACAATAAACAAAACACACATGTCCACTCCTCCTTGCTGCCACTGATCAGTGAGATTTTATAATACTTCATGTCACTTCCTGAGCCATAAATCCCTAAAACCTGTAGGATTGCAGATATTGCCACCACTGTTTCACCCTCACCCAGAATGTAACTATGGCCCTTGTCCAGCTCAATCAGGTAGGACTGACTGTGCCAGGGAACTTTAAAGACCTGCACACAGCTTGCCACCGTCTGCCCTCCAGTGTACTGGGCAGTCTTAAGAAGTAGCAATTTTGTTCATTTAATTTAAAGGGAACAATTTTAAACCAGAATTAGGTTTACTGAAGATTATGTGCCTGTTTCACTCTTCATGATTTTACTCCCGTCCCAGCGAAGTCCCCTGGCCCTGCTACCAAGGGACAGAAAAGGCTTGAAAATCATTTTCTGGCTGCCACAAACTAGCAGTAGATGATGTAAAGTGTTATCTCAAAGACCTTGGTTGGTCAGCCTCACAAGCTTCTCTTGGTTTAAGTCCATCTCTGAGCTAGACCCAAATATGAGGACCCATCATGGCTGCTGGCAAATATTAAAAACATTTAGATTTCTAGGTCAAGTTGCTGACCTGAACTTTATTTATTGTGTGTGGTTTTATTCTCTGTAAAGACCAACTAGTTCTTATTTTGGATTTTAAACTTCCTGAGAGTCCTTGAGTCTGTGCAGCATATGTTTGTAGTTACAACCTAGATGGATTTTTATAGACTTCTAAATCGGAGTTGATTGGACCGCAGAAAATCCTACTAAATAGTTGCTACGAAATGTTTACTTATACCAAATGTGACTGTTGCACACCTAATGGAGCCAACAAAAATAACTTTTTAATGGATGGATCATTTTAAAGTTCCAGCACATACCTATGGTACAGTATTGTTTGTGCTGTTGGCAAAGTGATGTACCTAATCACACTGAGAAAAGTTCCTTTAAAAAGGGGGTGGTAGAATTTGGTTATCTAGAAGATAAATATGGGACTGATTTAATGTTTATATATAGCAAAATGCATTTACGTGTATGTATGATTATGGGGCCTCCATTGTCTAAAAAACAAAAGTGTGCTACAGTCAGCCAGTCACCTTCCCACGATGTTAAATGTGTAGTGAAAGATTGGTATGGATTTATTTTTGTTCCATCAAATAGAAATCTATATAATAAAAGAGGATTTCATAAATGTTAATAACATTCAAAAGTTATTTTGAAGACTGGACTAATTCACATACCTTCAGATCTCATTGTTTCAGGTACATTAATGCAGTGATTTATCCAACATTAAATTTTTGATACAGTGTCTAAATAGAGTAAATATTTTTGTGGGTCCCCTGGAGTTCTTTAGTTTTCCTCCACTATATAAATGTAATTGTAGTTCAGGTCAGGTGGTTGCCAGGCAATATAATGTTGTCAAAATAGATGCCATAATAGTCAAATTAAGTGGATGCAAATTAGATGCTACTGCTGTCAAATGAAAATGATACAATGCTTTTATGAAGTTTTATATTTGCATATATGCAAAAAGTTGGTCATTTGCAGTCTGATTGTAGGTGGCTGCTAGGCAACATAATGTTGTCAAATCTAATCTAGATAACATGTACCTGTGTGCCACATCCTGATTGTGTAGGAGGAGTATACGGACAGAGATATGGCATGTTATAGTAGTGAGTGTAAATATACATTCAAAATGCCTTTATATGGGCAATTTGCAAGATTTTTAAAAGGTGAAGGGGAGAATTTGAAGAAATTCCAGTTTTGATATTATGCCAGAGACTTCTGTGACGTGTTTCTTCTTTCAGCTACTCACAATAAGCATTAGAGAACCCGGTCCCTGCGGAAAGCTGTGAGTGTGTCTAAAATTGGTAGTTTTACATGTATTTCTATTGTATTCTACCAATTTTAGCCCTGTATGAATCACTTTTTAAAAGACAAAATATTTCAGAGAAAATAACAAATATCAAATTAACACCTTTTATTAACTTAATTATTAGCCTTATTTTCTGAAGTTTGGCACTTGTCTTAAAATTAACATTTGACTTAGAGCATGTGAATTTACAATGACACCCTGATTACAGTCTAGAGTCCAGATGTTTCCTAACCAGCTATTGACATATTTAGAAACAGGGTGAGTCCCAATCACAGGATTGGGACTCACCAATCCTGTGATTGGTGAGTCTAGTGTGCATTGTTACACTGCACACTAGATACCAAAACATAGGAATTGCTATTATGTCTGAAAACTTCAAATGTGTGTTCTCAGTCTTTCTGTTATGTATTAATGATGACATTTTGACGCCTTTGCTTTGTTCTGTTGGAAAACTTTACCTACTTGTAGAACCGTGGAGTTTAGCTGTCATGCACGTAGTGTCGAAATAATGAGAGTGACAGAAATATCACCATCAGTCCAGTTAATCACAAACAAGCATAGAAAGGCAGTGGAGGAGTGACTCAGTTTGAGTTATGATTCATCAGAGGCCTCATTCTATGATTGAAGATTGAGATTTTAATAGAATGACTGAAAAGACGCACATCATTTTACCTTCCCCATTGTACCAAAACAAGCTTTTTCTTCCCCCCCACAGTCTATTACCATGTATTACATTCACTCCAGTAACGCCCAGTGTTTGCATTATTATTTTTAGTGCTGCTCCATATTTTCCATGCTGTAATTTCCTGCATTTTTTGTCATGCTTGTATTTGTAAAACGTTTTACTGTCCTTCTATCCAACTCAGCTTGCCCATGAGAAGAACGACACAGTCATCCAGTTTCAGTCTCCAACAGTAAACGGCTCCTTAAACCAGCACTTGAAAACAGTCATCAAGCTGGACAACTGGGAGAAGGAGCTGAAGCCCTTTCACTACCACCCTAACCCCAGCTTCAATAATCTACAAAACAAGATCATCACTGCAAACAGCATGATTATCGTTACTGTGAGTACAGCCACGAGGTCACTTTAATGCAGTTGCAGTACTACGTTTTCCCTTTTTTTCCTGAATAGTCGGTGTGTGCTGTGTGTCCTAATTAAGACAAACTGTCTTATTATCTGACTTGAGGATAAAAATGGAAAAGATGCTGAGTTGCATTTGCTGCACATTTATCATTTGAGCTCCGTGAATGCTTTGGCTTGGAAGTAAAAAAGATTTTTTTTAAAAAAGCAGCTTTCAGATAAATAACAATTTTTTTTTTTTTTAAATGTTCATTTTATGATATAATAAACACGCTTTTAGTGTAATGCTGTAAAACTGTTTTATGACAAACACTGCAGGGTCACAAAAAGATTAACACCAGAAAACGCACATGCAAGTGTTTACACAAAAAGTAGTTTCGTAACACTTATCTGAAATCATGCAGTGTTTTTTGGGCAGGGGCCCCAATTAAACAAAGCTTTGTTTTAAGTGGTGTTAAGCCAAATGGTTGAAAAGCCCTCCAAGTCTACCCACGAGTACACATTCTTGTTTTAGCCACAGTATAACAAATGTTCATCTTTACGATAGCTAATCTGACACTTTGTGCTCTCGATATCAGACAGTACGTAGATGAGCTAGTAAATAAAACCCCAGTTTCTTTCACTTTGAATCTTTTCATCATCATGGATTTATTTTCTCACGTGTTTTGTAGCATTATTTTTACCTCTCAAGGGTGCCACTAAAAAGTCCAAGGTGACACTTTCACATTGCTTGTTTTGTTTGACAAGTGCAATAGAGCATTGTCACAAAAGGCAAAGATATGCAACAAACAAAAACGACTGAGAAGCCTGAGCCAGAAAATGAATCGATTTTTCTTATAGCTTATTTTTATGGCTGTTTTGAGCTCCCAGAGTGTACCACCTCAAAGTTTCTGTTGGTAAACGCACTTGTGGGGAAAGTCATATGCAAAACGTGTAAAACCTTTTCAGTTACTCAGCCGCTGATTAACTTAAGCTGGTTTCACCTTCTTCCAGCCGACATTAGAATAATTAAATGTCTGTAGATCCACAAGTGTGCTGCAAAATCTCAAGAAATTACTGAGAGTGAGGTGCTTACAATAACTCCAATCTTTATCTTTTTAATTACTTTTAGCTCATATTGGAGCAGTGAGGAGCTGTCGTACAGCACACTTCCCACCCATTACTCATAAAATGCTGCCGATAATGATTTCAGTGCTCATCGTAGGATCTGTCTAATTAATTTCTCTCCCATGTACTTCAGTCACTGCCCTTAGAGCCTCGCATTCACTCTTCCCCCTGCAGGGTCGGGGATTCTCCAAAGCGATGACAACTAAAGAAGCACAAGCCTTCGTAGGCGACGTTCAGTGTGTGGTCAACACCCTTCAGGATGATAAGCTGTTCTTGGAACCACCTTCCACCACGCCTGGTGCTCGTACTCGCGCCAAACATCAGCACAGAGAGACTGGGTCGGAGGATCTGGAGCTAATGGTCAGAGCACACTAACAGATGAGTTCTGACTGATGATCACTTATTTCAGTGAACGTTTTAATGCAACACTGTAATATCACTGCTTCATAAATAAAAGTACTCGCCTCAAAATCTTAGTATGTTAAAGTTTTAAAGATATCTCAAGAATGAACTTTAAGTACTCAAAATAATGGTCTGTAATGGATAAAGGCTCCTTATGTAATCGTTTATTATAATTATACTGCTATATGTCATGAGTTACACACAAGCAAGCTTCTTTTTAGCCATTCATTTGAATCATAGACAAATTACTAGGGTATATTGTTTGGTTTGTAATAAATAAGGAAATAATACGAATGAAGGCAGAGGACACTGGGTACTACTCAGGCTATTAGATTAATGGATAGTGGAGTAAAATACAGCATTAAAACTGAGCAAAGAAATCTTTCGTGCCCATGGTCTTTATCCTTGTACATGTACCTCAACTGTGTACTTCAGCAAAGTACTTGAGTAAATGGACCATTGCAGATCCATACACAGACTTGAAGATGAGAGCATGCATGCATCATGAACCTTTACTGTTCTTCTCCCGGCATATCGTCTATACAATTTGAGATCCAATTTTTTTTTCCACCGGTTGAACAATTTTCATGTAGCTACAGGCTCTATAATTGCCTGTAATTATAGGTAAGCCACAACTATGATGAATACCATACCTCTCCCTGGGTAATTCTTATTGTTATATGTCAGCGGCTGCATAAAGAAGTGACACCGCTAGACTATAATCCAGCTTTTTCTATATTGGTATCTGCTGCTGTTGATAAAGTGTGAGACTTGGTACGTTTATGTAATTATCCTCTTTATGCAACCCTACCAACCTGAACATACATACTTTAAAAATACTTTTAAGGTCCTAGAGCTGCTTTAGCCGAGTTGACGGTTGGAATCTAAACTATTCACATTTAGATTTAATCTCTCTACTTCCTCCCCGGTATCGTCCGGTCTTTGCTTTTGACTTTGGCTAAAATGTGGAGAGCTTGTGCAAATAATAAGATTTTTTTCTTTCTACAGATCAAGTTTGGGAAAGGGGAGTGGGTGGTCGACTCGGTGCAATACGAGAAGAAGAATGATTTCCCGCTCTACATCATCATCCCTGCTGTCATTGTGCCCATGCTGCTCATCATCACTATCTCTGTGTACTGCTACAGGTGAATTGAGCTATTTTAGGTTAACTTTATGCAGCAGGAGCACACAATTGATTGTGTTTTTTTTAAGAGTATAGGTACTTCTCCAGTCAGTCCCAGCTTTTTCTGCATTGTGTTTGCTAGTTTGTTTGTATTTTTTAAAAACGACTTGGAAAAACGATATGTTCATATTCATAAGAAATTATTAGGAGCACACCAACAGTGACTGCGTAATAAGAACTAATGGATACCTTGCAGCTAAGTTAGTGGCCAAAAGAAAAGAACCTCTTTGCAACAAGTTAACATTCATCTGTTTGACCTTATTTTCATGATGCATTTTCTTTGTGTGTGTGTGTGTTTAATCTTTTCAGGAGGAAGAGTCAGCAGGCAGAGAGGGAGTATGAGAAGGTGAAACACCAGCTTGAGAACCTGGAGGAGAGTGTACGAGACCGCTGCAAGAAGGAATTCACAGGTATAAGCTGTGCAGCTGTGCAGAAGCGTCACAATATTGCTAATGTCCCTCTAAGGATCCGTGTTTCTAAGAAGCTGTAAAGTAATGAATTGGTTCATAGCTCTGATTAAATGCATAAATTCTCCCACTCAATGTCATCTTATCATCATTATTAGAAGCAGTTTTGCAGTAACATTAATAGAAAACAATATTTCACTGTTGAAATCATTTTCCTGGCAATGCTCTCCATTTTCTGCCTCTTGCAGCATCATAATTGAGACAGACGAACAGTGTGAAAGTGACAAGAGTTGCTTATTAAAAAGAAACCATGTGGTGCTTTTTGTTTCTTTCTCGCAGACCTAATGATTGAGATGGAGGACCACACCAATGACCTGAATGAGGGACGAATCCCTTTCCTGGACTACAAGACGTACACAGACCGAGTCTTCTTCCTGCCCTCTAAGGACGGCGCCAATGATGTAATGATCACAGGGAAGCTAGACATACCAGAGGCTCGCAAGGCCACCGTGATTCAGTCTCTCAACCAGTTCTCCAACCTCCTGAACTCCAAGACATTCCTCATTAATGTAATTATACTGCACACGCATCATCAAATTGTCAGCTGTGAGCTCAGACCGATAATGCCTGCTTACAGAGAGTTTGCAGTCCTTTAAAACTGTGCAAAATCAAACCACCAAACACTGAACAATGCTGGATACATCTAGATTTTCAAAGCCTTCTTTTTAGCTTCACTGGCACCAGGACTCTGAGGATGTCAGAGTCAGTTGGTACACTTCAAATAGATCACTATCAAGTTTTACAAAGACATTTATGATTCTTGGATGATGGATGGCTTTGGTGATCCCTCTAACTTCTCTAATAATACCACCGGCAGTCTGGGATTTGCTTGTCTGAGTGAAATGATGCCGGTTGCTTGACAGACTGCACAGACATTATTGTACCCTACAGGATAATTTGGAAAAACTTGGGTGTTCCAGTGACTTTTCCTCTTGAACTACAGTCAGCTCAGAAAGAATATTTCAACTAATTTGGGCTAACACAATAAGAAGTACTTAAAAAATATTGACATTCCATCAACCTCAGCTGTAGTTTGTTTTTAGTGCTAAATGGCAAATGCTAATTAACATTACATGAGATGATAGTAATGTAAGACTATTATACCTGCTAAATATCATGCAGCTTGGATCATTTTGGCATTATGACTTTAACATTTAGCTCACAGTAAAGACTCTCAGCTTGCAGCTTGCACAGATTTAGACTCTTATGAAACATCAGTCAGTCTAAATTTAGACACGTAATCACTAATGTTACTTCATATGTTATATAAATGTCAGTCACTGGAGGCTTATTTCTAAACTGCATTATTTCAACTGCTCATCCAAGTGAATCCAAACCCATCAGAGCACCATCAATACCAGAGTCCTCATGCATCAAGTTTCAAGCACAGTGGGTGAACAGATGTCGAGAAGGGTGAAGAACAGACAGACAGATATAAAGATTGGCCTATTAATTCATGAGATGTAGCATACTGTATACCATAAATGGAGTTGACTTGCAAAAGTGGCAGCATTGCAACAATTTCCTCTGAGCTTGCCAGATTTGCACCACTGCATAAACTCTCTAGGCATAAGCTGATTTACTGAGAAAATCACAAATGTAGTTGTGGAGTTGTTTCTGAATGAACTAAAGTGGCCTTGTGTAATGAAAGAGGTAAATCACTGAATGCACCAATACAGCGCTTTTATATGTATTTAGACGACAGTGGAGGTTTGTGGCACAAGGAGTCACGAGGTGGCTGTGGTAATAGGACGGGAAAAAATAATCTTGAAAGGCAGCAGGATAAATGCAGGGGAGGTTTTCTTTTTCACTAGTATTTCTGATAATATATGTGTGGGGTTTTTTGTTTTTGTTTATTTGAAAAAAAGGTCAGATCCAGCCATTACCTTGAGCTACTGAGCTAAATGTTTGTATGATACTATATTGATGGTGTTTTTAAAATGGGCTGAAGACCTCACAGATTAAGGATCTATTCTAACTTTAAGTTTCCTTTGAATTGAGCACTGTAGTGTGTTACAGTTTTGCGGCATATCTACAGTAATACAAGCGAGAGGCAGAGGACATAGCAGAGGGAGACGTGTGAAGATTCCTGTTAATCCAATATTGCTGGCACAGAAACAGCCTCTGAGGTGCTAACTGCACTTGTGGGGTGATTCCTCTTCCACTAATTGGTATCATTTCTAAGCCACAGTATTTTACAGGGCAGAACTAAATTTACCTTGATAATTATAATTTTCACTAGCATTGGTCTTTTGATAATTTAAAAGCATATTATGTTGGATTTGCTTCTGTGTGTGCTTCTTTACGATGATTAATTCACCTCATCATTTGCTTCCTGTTTCTGTGTGTGTGTGTGTGTGTGTGTGTGTGTGTGTGTGTGTGTGATATTTGTGTTTTTGCAGTTTATCCGTACCCTGGAGCGCAGTCATGACTTTAACGCCAGGGCCAAGGTTTACTTTGCCTCCCTGTTAACAGTAGCTCTGCATGGGAAGCTGGAATATTACACCGACATTATGAGAACACTGTTGTTGGAGCTGATGGAGGAATATGTCAACAGCAAGAACCCCAAACTAATGCTGCGCAGGTGAGTGTGGACCAACTCTCTGTTGCTTCTTAATGGTTCTCCTGTATTGCTTTCAGGCTTAATTAGCACAACATTTTTACATAGCATGAATCCAGAATGTTTTGGTGCTTGCTTCCCATTTATCGCCTTGAAATCTGGTGCAAACATTCATATCCTCTTTCTAGATTAATTGTAGTTACCTTAGTCAAATTTATGTAGGTCAAAACTGTAACAGTAAATACCTGCTTTTTGCATGCTAACCTACTTAGCTCTGTGTGCTGCTGCCTCAGTCTAGACTCTCGGCGCCACTCTTCTGGCTGGACTCTTAGATTTGTTTAGCAGTAATTGCTCTGAGATTGTAAAATGTCCTCTTTCTGCAGTTTTGAATCAGAGTCGCTCAACTCTGGCACTGATATGAACCAGTTGATGCGGACTGGGATTCAGTTCAGAATGCAGCGGACTGTTTCATTCTGTTTCCATGTTTTCTGTTGAATTTTGTAAAGACTTACTGTAGTCCATTATCAAGAGCCAGACTGCTGCTCCATCTATTCCAGTCTTCCTCCATCTGCTCATCCTTCTGTTTTTCCTCTCTTTTTTTGTTTTTCCTCATTGGAATCCAAGTAAAATGTGCTGGACAATTTTCTTTCATCTCGCCTTTGTCATCGTCACCTTCTTATCCCTGCTGATTGTAACTAAAAGATCAGCTTTAGTGCTTGAGCCAGCGTAACCCTAACCCAAATTCTATTTTATTAGTTTGACTTTCCAGTTAAGTGGAGACTGGTTGTAAAATTTGGGTTGGTGTGAAATTATAAGTAATTATTGTTTTGCTAACAATAATTAGTATTTTTAAAAACTGACCAAATACTGGTGAGTTATTTTTTGTCACTGATTTGATCGTTTTAATAGTAATCGTTCGCTATATTCTTCCTGGGCAAAATTTCAGAATTTCTTTGTAAAATTTGAGTCCATAAACATTCAGCTTATTAATCTCATTGAAGTAAATAGCCTTAAGAAACTAAGCTTCCAGATTTTGGTGTTCTTTGATCTTTTTAATGATCATGTCAAGGTCAAGTGATCCATTGACTGCTGCTTCCCCTCCCTCAGCAGGACACACTTGTCTGTCGGCACAGTTGCTTAACGTTTCTGAGGGGCAATTTTGTGATCTGAACTATTCCCTGTGCCTAGGCACGCTGTGACTGACTCTTATGCAAGTACACATCTTAATTATCCCCCAATGGAGAAGCTCATTATGCTGATTAGCCCATTGTGCCAAAACAGACCTCCTTATATACAAGACATCTAATTAGGCATGCTATGTGCATCAGCGAGCATCACCAGTGGATAGTTGACATTTTGATGGGATATCTGTCAAGTGACCAATGACATGAGTTCTGAATAAAAATATCTTGACACTGACAAGCTGTATATAATTCGAAGCCCATAAAGTCCCACAAGATGATTTAAAAAATATAATAATGGTTATGTAAGTTATTTATACTATGCTGTTTATCAAAGCCTTTATTTATTCTGTAAATAAATGATAAATGTCATAAGGCCTTTTCATATTGTGCTAAGGTGGGGGCCAAGAAGTAGTCTTGGCCCCCTTCCTGATTTCCTAGTTTTTATACGTTTGTCGCACTTAAATGTTTCACATCATTAAACAAAATGAAATACTAGAAAAACATAACACAAGTAAACACAAAATGCAGTTTCTGAATTAAGGTGTTTATAATTTGGGGGGGGGGGTCCTCTACATGGCCCTGTGTGAAAAAGTGATTACCCCCTAAACCTAATAACTGGTTGGGCCAACCTTGCTGTGGCATGACCTTTTTAAAGTCATACCACAGCATCTCAATCAGATTCAGGTCAGGACGTTGACTAGGCCACTCCAAAGTCTTCATTTTGTTTATATTAAGCCGTTTAGACGTGGGCTTGCTGGTGTGTTTTGGATCATTGTCCTGCTGCAGAACCCAAGTTGTCTTCGGCTTGAGGGCACCAACAGATGGCCGGACATTCTCCTTCAGGATGTTTTGCTGGACAGCAGAATTCTGGGTTCCATTTACCACAGCAAGTCTTCCAAGTCCCGAGGCAGCAAAACAGCCCCAGGAATTTTTTCCCCTTAATAATAAACCTCTTCATTTAGAAACTGCATTTTGTGTTTGCTCGTGTTATGTTTGTATAATATTTAAATTTGTTTGGTGATGTGAACCATTTTAGTGTGACAAACATCCAAAAAAAAAATGGGAAAGCAGGAAAGGGGCAAACACTTTTTCCACACCGCTATATATAAGCTCACATTATGCAACTTCAGAGGCTCTGTAGTGTAGACTTTCCCCTTATCAACAAACACTATATAGACAAAAGTACTGGGCTGCATACATGATACACCTACAGGAGGCGCTGCTGATGTTAATGCCAGACGAATTTTGGAACTCTGCAGTTATTGAGTCAGCAGTGCACCTTAGCAGTCAGCAGCCCTGCTCCGGTCTGCCACATTGTGGCTAAGTTGCTGTGGTTCCTAAATGCTTCCACTTTACAATATTATCATTTATTACTGCATGCAATGTTAAAGAGGGAAGAAATTTCACGAAGTGACTTATTGAAAAAGTGGAATGCTCTTACAGTACCATGCTTGATTTTAGTGAGCTCTTTCTTTCACACACGACTGCATGGCTTGATTTTATTGGAACTGAAAACACCTGAATTCAAAGACGGTGTGGCCCAATACCTTTATTTATACTGGTGTCTGTTTCATGCCGTGTCTCTTGATATACAGTATTTTACACCAAATAAATACATTTTATTTTCATAATAAGAGTAAAAATAAGTCAACAAATATGTTTTTCAGGTCAGAGACAGTGGTGGAGCGGATGCTGTGTAACTGGATGTCAATCTGCCTTTACCAGTTTTTGAAGGTAATGCAAGTTTTGGGTCACTGGAAATGATGCCGTGACTGACAGAATGATTTGATTTGAATATTTTCTGGTCGCAGCTCTGATATGTTTTGATTTTAGCAGTTGTTCCGTGTTACAGTGAACTTTATGGTATAGACTGGTGTTCTGAAAAATATAGATGTTATTCAATACATTTTTTTAAAGAGTGAATATACTTTATCAGTTATTTTTTAAAAAAAGTATGATCGCATGCTTCAATATTAAACTGTGGGCTTTATGGATTTTTGCATTTCTTTCATTAGTGCTTGTGTTGAAAGTGCCAGTTTATTTGACTTTTAAGCTGCTAATCACAACAATTAGCTGCTTTACAACAGCTGTGTCAAGCTAAATGGATTTGTGTGCCTGTGTGTGTGTGTGTGTG